CAAGGACCATTTGGCCTAACGAAACATATGCAACCAACAATGCGTGTAGTTTAGTTGAGTGATTCCTCCTGAGATGGACGTTCACAACGATCCTAGTGAGCAAACGTGGAATAATTGTTTGCGCCCTAAAAACTACCTAGTATGATACCCATGCTGATAGATGTTGCAATGTTGTTGCCGAAACTGCGTAGCGTTAGTGCACTCATTTATCTACCAACGCCTACCAAACTGACAAGAGTGGTATCAACATAAATCAAATTCAAGCGGATAACCAAATGGAAATGGTATTTACCATTTTGGGTTGGTATTTACCGATCCGTTCAAGCGAGTGTAGTTATCAGTTTGGTTATAAGATCCGTGACGTCACGAATGAGCTGTTATATGTCATAGTTATTACCGCAAAATTGTGGTATTTACCCAACTCAAGAGTAGTTTTATATTTCTGGTTATTATTTGAAATGTGACAAGTTAGAATTTTGCCGGGTATTGGATATTGTTAACAATAGCTTCAGCTTCATTTTTGAGAAAATTGATACAGGCTGACTTCAGTTTTACCATAAAGTGGAGCACCTTATTAGTTATACTCATTACGGTTGTTGGGGACACTTTAAATGTAGTTCCTATGCTTAACAAAGTATCCTGTGTAGCCATATACAACAAGAATATTAAAATATGGCCATATAAACTCACTAGATGATATCCACTTGTATACGGTTTTGCTAATTTCTTTTTTCATCATTCCTACTGAATCAATAAATGTTTTCTTTGACATGCTGAAAATTTAGAGAATTGAAAGTTATCATAGCTACAAAGCCATGGTACCATCATTAAAAAAAAATCTGAAAAAACCATTTCTCCCATGAATATTATGAAAGGTTCCTATTTAAACTTTCCATATACAGTTGTAGACGAAAAAGCACCGATTATTAATTGATAATAAAAATAATCAGAGATTATATACGCGCTTTTCTAAAATAAACAACTTGCAACAAAACCGCGGTTAAAACCAACGCGTTCAAGCGATTCGTGTAACTGACGTCATCAACCCGTGTGTCATCTTGAACCATATTATAACCACGGCACATAACACAGAAATTTTGGTTATTCGCTTGGATTTGATTATAATAATAAATTACCCGAGGCTTGTGTTGGTATTTGATAATTATTACATTTGCACTTTTTCAAACAACGCTGAAACTACGAATTTAATGACAGAACAGTCAAAAAATGACTTATGTCAAGTGCACTTGTATACCACAGACAATAAAAATAAGGAGACAAACAAATCCTTGACTGGCTCTTTCTACCTAGTCAGAATTCGTTGGTTTTAAGGGAGAGGTCTGCTTCTAGGCATTTTTCTCTATTATTAGTACATAGTGCAAGGTTCTTATACCGTACTACCTTACGACCAAGTCGTAACTACTCTTTCAGCTCCAGTGAGCAAAATGGGATCCTGCTTAGGGCACTTAATCTAGTATACGAACTTATATACTAAGTGACATATAAATCCGAACACCCAGTTTAAATGGTTTTATTTTAATAAAATTTTGTATAAGTACTTAATGAAGCATAATAAGTAAATGATAAAAATTTCAAAATGATTGCACTGCTTTAAAGCCCTTTGACCTTTAATAATGTGTGCATGCACCCTGATGTGCTACGCATTCTCTAACGCGCCTAGGCATGCTTCTGATCAGGTGGTCAATGTCCTCCTGTGGTATCTCATTCCAGGCAACCACCAACTCTTCTCGAAGTGCTTCTAGAGTCTGAGGAGGACGTTGCAAATTGAGCAATCTCCTACCCATCATATCCCACACGTGCTCAATTGGGGATAAGTCGGGAGATCTTGGTGGTCATGGTAACAATGTGACATCATTATGTTGAAAGAAGTCTATTGTGACTCTTGGAACATGTGGTCGGGCATTATCTTGTTGGAAAGTTGGATCTGCCAGGGTGTCAAGATAGGGTAAAAGATGGGGTTCTAGAACTTCGTGGATATAACGCTGCGCGTTCATGTTACCTCTGATGAAGATTAATGGTGACCTGGAACCATAAGCTATAGCAGCCCAAACCATAACTCCAACAGTGTGATGAACATGTCTTTCAACAAAAAACTGTGGATTCCTCCTTTCACCACGTCGCCTTCTAACCCTGGCACGACCATCGTGCATGCCTAAACAAAATCGAGACTCGTCACTAAAGCCAATACTGTTCCATTCCTGATCCCAGAGTGACCGTTGTCTGCACCACTCAAGGCGATTACGTCGGTGTTCTCGATTTAAAGGGAGGGACCCAGTGTGGCCGGTATGAAAACAAGCCAAAACTTCTCATTCGTCGGTAAACACTTCGCATGCCAATAGGTCTTCCGTGTTCTGCAAACCATTCATTTGCAATGGACCTGGTAGTGGAGAAACGGTCCCTTAAGGCCAATAATCTTAGGCGGCGATCTTCACGGTCTGTTGTTCTACGGCGGCGTCCAGTGCCCCTTGCTCTTTGCGTACGGCCTTCTCGAATCCATGCCTGACAACACCTAACCACAGTATCTACACTTCTTTGCACTCTAACTGCAATTGCCCGAAAAGAAAGTCCAGCTTCCCGAAGTCCCACTATACGGCCCCTATCAAACTCACTAAGTTGACGAATCGTACAGGTCTCCGTACTCTAGGCATCGTAACCGATCGTAAAGGATGTCAAGAACCAAAATCCGCCAACGTTGATTCTTTACTGAGGCTGAAATATTCATTTTTAGAGCGTTAGTGAATTAAAAAAAAGTAGTATAAAAACCGGAATGTCCAACTGATAAGGCTGAAAATTTTTTCACTTGTTATTTACAGTAAGATAAATACATTCACCAACTTTTATTAAAATAAAACCATTTAAACTGGGTGTTCGGATTTATATGTCACTTAGTATACATGCTCCGTACACAAGCATCAAAAATTGTTCTTCTTCCGCACTACCGAGGATGTCACACGATCAATATTTACTGTGGTCCGTACGCTAAGTATTTATTCATCATTCTGACAGTGGCAGTAGATTTCCACGTAATCCTACATCAGTAATGACTGACGTCCTAGCTACAATAAATATAAAATTCCACGTCTAATTCTGTGGGTCACATCACGGTGGGCAAAATGGGGGTCCGGATTAGGCCACTTTCCTTTAAACATATGAACTTATCATATATCCCCCGTACACACGTCGCAAAGGGAGTTCTTCTGCCGCACTATCTTGCCGTCAAGAAGGGGATTTCCCGTGAACAAAATGGTTTCCGAATTAGGTCACTTTCCTCTGGTACGCAAACTCATCATACACTCCCCGTACACACGCCGCAAAGGTAGTTCTTCTGCGCCACTACCGTCAACTAGTGACCTTGGAAGAACGAATGAGTTATGAAATTAGAGGCACTGGTCACCCTAAACTTTAAGCCTCGCCATTCTAGCAAAGTTGAGTAGGTCTAAGTCCAACCTCATTAACCTTCTGGGGGTCCAAAGTGCTGTATTGTCTGTCTCTAGTAGCTAAGAGCCTCACAGCGACACAGAACGTGCGCCGAGGACCCTTTCTCTATCCCTCAGCGCTCACACTTGAGATCCTCAGTCCCCCCACCACATGCAGGTGACGCCTCATCGTGTTATGTCCAGACAACAGTCCCACCAACAATCTAAGATTGGCTCTATCCAAAGATTAGCGAAAGCGTCCATCCTTAACACTGGGCCCTACGCCTTGCCTGCCGGAGATGTCTAGAGATGCTTCTTAATTCCAGAGTGTGTTGTCTTGTATTCCACTTCACCATTTTTCTAGTACTCTTTGCGCGGGCATCCTTAAAGCTGGCTCAGGACTAACGAGCTTGCTGGCTGACCCTGCTTTCACAAGTTTGTCCGCCGTATCATTGCCATTTATTCCAGCGTACCCACACTAACGATACAAAGCTCAAAGTAATCTTGCTAGTGCTTTTATCGCAGCCTGGCTGTCCGAGAAGATTGTTATTCATCTCCTAGGCCCTTTCCCCTCCAATTTGCATAGATTTTCCATGGAAAATAGTGGTGTACCCGACGAGAGGCAGCGGAGAGGCTAGTGCTAGGCCCAAAGACCTCGGCGCCAGAGCCCTCTGCAGTAACTCAGCCGTCCGTGTACCAGACCTGCCCACTTCCCTCAGAGACCTTCCGGTTGTGGTTAAAGCGATATTTAGGAGTGATCAGAAGGACGGGACCCTCCCTTTGCAGCCCGACTAAGAAGGCAGTGGGACTCTTGACAGGATTCAAGACAGCCCAGGTGTCCTGACGCCACACTCGATGTGCGACTATTCTCGCCTCTCCGCCTCTAGTATATTAACTTATCGTACACCTCCGTACAAACGTCGTAAAGACGGTTCTTCTGCCGTACTACCTTACCGTCATGTCGTGACCCCTCTCTTCCAGCTCCGGTGAGCAGCGAGAAGCAGAAAATCTGTGATCCGGTGTCGGCGGCACGGCTAACAGGAAAGTGAAGGAGCATGCGGCACCAGTAGTACCGAACGAGATGCGAGTACACGTCGCAACCGCAACCTCACCGTCCACGATTCTTCTTCGGTTTTGAACTTTCTATATTCGCGAAGCACATCAGTCAACATGCGTCGGAAGTGTCGTACCAAGCTTGCGTGCACCACTGTGATATTTGTTTTAGGATATCTCATTGTTATCGGTGAGTCAGAAAAATATATGTTAGAATTTCTCTTCTGCTTGTAGTCAGAGCGCATTGCAGAGTCGAGATCTGTCGTAGATTAACCCACCAAGCTCACCAGACTCGCAGAAACTACCCAAATAACACAACTATATTTTAAAGACGTTTTAAAAATGTCATTTTGAGATATTAGAGACAACGTAAAGACGTCTTGTGAACGCTGTACGGTATCTCAAAGACGTTGTAAAGGCGAGGTTTCTTACACCAACTGTCCATCTTAAAGACATCTTTATAATACGTCTTTACTGCAACATTAAAAACACAAAATAAAAAACAGGAAAATTATTTAAAACAAGTGTTTATATTAAAAAAATAATATTTTTTTTGTGTTATCAAAATTTTTCTGGGTGGCTCATGGTGGATTTTTCATACAGCAGCCCTTTCAGCAGACACTGAAATAAACAATTGGGTTCCATGAACTTTTTAATATTCTAATCCAAAATGTTTTTATACTTTTTAGTATTCTTGTCTATATACTAATAATCCGGTGTTTTATTTTTAAATCTTTTTAAGGGTTCTTTTCCATTTCGGCCATAAAAACTGTATTTAAGTGCTACTGAATTTGTGTTGATGTAAGTTGAAATTCGCTTGACAAAATCGTATGTATTGCAACCCCACCCTTGAATATTCCTTGACCTGAAAATAATAAGTCAAAATAGCTTACTTTGAAGTATTCAATTAAGCAGCATCATACTCGTATTAGTCGATATTCAGGGTCTACACTTACCTGTTAAGACACCGAACACTCTAATGTTAACGAATCCCCGGGAGAACGCGATTGCCAATTTATTTCTTTTTCAACGGCAAACAAGTGGAAAATCATATGTAGGCAAGAACTATTCCCGCGTATGCTACTCCCTACGCCTTAAAAAACACTGATACAAATGACATTGACAGATACCCGATCTAGAGATGTTGCAGAGGTAAGTATAGAGATGTGCCCTCCTTAATCGATGCACCGTCATCTGGTGACGACTTGTCTTTTCTCATAGTTTAAAGTAATGAAATTGGATAAAAAATATATGAATCTTAAAAAAAGACATATACTTTCAATCGTGGTTGGCTAAACAAAAAAATATATATTACCTTAAACATTAGTTGACGTTCTGGATTGAAGTTTCTTATATTTTCACCAATAGTTCTAACTTTTTAAGAAGCTGAATTCTTCTGAAAACCTCTTAAAGATATTTGTGTGTCAGGATGTTCTTGAAAACGTCGCACTAGGGACATCTTAAAAAGGTCTTTTCAATGTCTCAAGGATTCAGACATGATTAGTGCATAAAATGGACGTCTTTAAGACGTTCTGTGCTATCTGGATAGTGGCTAGCCTTATCCGCAGTTTTATCGACAGAATCGATGAATCATTGAGGTTCTGTATAACATACGAGGTCTATAAATTGAGTGATGAGACTGATTTTTTCAATTTATTCAAATATTATTACAATTATACAGGGTGACTTCGAAGTTGAGTCATTTATTTTAACAGTGAGTAGATCTGATCAAAAGAAATGTTTTTTTCCTTTACCATTTTTCTGGTAAAATTAAAGTAACAAAGTTATAGCCCTTTGGAAGTTTGAGTACCGCCCTGTCTCAATAATAATATTATGTGCTCGTGTTTGGCAACAACGGATATAATCCGCCTTATTGATTCATCGCATCGGAAACAAAAAAGCGAAAGAATTTGGAACGATGTTTTTACAATTATTTTATTCAGTTGTATACAGTCAGTGTCAGTCGGTAACGCGTGAGTGAATAGTGGTGACTGTTGCGTGGCTCAAACGAAATAAAAAATGGCACATGTTTATGCGGATCGGTTTCCCAATCGAGTGCAACCAACACCTCGTGCCTTTGTTAATGTAGTACAACGGGCTCGTGAATCAGGTGACTTAAGACCTCACAGGGGACGGCATGCCGGTGCTCCAAGACCTCACGATCAAATACAGGTCCGCAGTGAAATACTTGTCGGGAGGATACTTTATAAAACAAGGTAAATTTTTTTTTATTATTTTTTTTTTATTTTTACACACATATTTTGGTTTATCTTCCTTCTACAATCATTATCTGAAAATTAATGACTTAACTTCAAAGTATATTGTCACCGTCTCTATGCCCAAGGAATATTGAGACGCCCTGTATATTATTCAAGTCGACCATTGATCTGTGGTACAAGCACTGATCAATGATAGCGTCTGCCCAAAATCCGCGCTGAACAACTACAAATATTTCTGAAAGGACGTGGAAGCTAGATTTAAAATTATCTGCCAGAAAGTGATCTAAGAACGTGTCGATTGGATTTGGTCAAGGCAAAATTTAAACGCATATTTTTACATACGTCCTCATATTACACGAGAATCGCTTTGTCTTGCTAGGATAAGGAATTCTTATTCTATGTTAATGCACGAATATCTGCCCAAATAACCATTGAGGACAAGGACGATATACTAGGTTAGGCGTGTCCGACAGTATTCATCACTTCAATTATTATGCCCCGTTAAACAATACTATAATTTACTTGAGATGACTTTTGACAGTCTTTACTCACATTTCTGAACGAATCGCTCCTCACGCCGGGATCATCAAATGAAGGAATCGACTCCGAGGCCGTAATCAAAATCGTGAGCGTATCGAAGGAACGGATGCAGAGGTCGGAATAGGAATCGTGAACGAATCGATTTCTACGCCGGAATCGGAATCGCACATCAAATAAAGGAATCGATTTTGAGGTCGGAACAGGATTCGTGAATGAGTCGAAGGAACAGATTAAGAGACCGAAACCGAAATTGTAAATATATTGATGGAACCGACACAGAGGTCGGAATAGGAATCGTGAATGAATCGAAGGAACCGCTTCAGAGGTCGGAATATGAATCGTGAACGAATCGATTCCGAGGCCGGAATTGGAATCGCGAACGTATCGAAGGAATCGATTCCGAGGCCGTAATCAAATCGTGAGTGTATCGAAGGAACCGATGCAGAGGTCAGAATAGGAATCGTGAACGAATCGATTTCTACGCCGGAATCGGAATCGCACATCAAATAAAGGAATCGATTTTGAGGTCGGAACAGGATTCGTGAATGAGTCGAAGGAACAGATTAAGAGACCGAAACCGAAATTGTAAATATATTGATGGAACCGACACAGAGATCGGAATAGGAATCGTGAATGAATCGAAGGAACCGGTCAGAGATCGGAATAGGAATCGTGAACGAATCGATTCCGAGGCCGAATTGGAATCGCGAACGTAACGAATGAATTGATTCTGAGGCCGTAATCAAAATCGTGAGTGTATCGAAGGAACCGATGCAGAGGTCAGAATAGGAATCGTGAACGAATCGATTTTTACCCCGGAATCGGAATCGCACATCAAATAAAGGAATCGATTTTGAGGTCGGAACAGGATTCGTGAACGAGTCGAAGGAACAGATTGAGAGACCGAAACCGAAATCGTAAATGTATTGAAGGAACCGATATAAAGGTCAAAATAGAAATAATGAATGAATCGAAGGAACCGCTTCAGAGGTCGGAATAGGAATCGTGAACGAATCGATTCCGAGGCCGGAATTGGAATCGCGAACGTATCGAATGAATTGATTCCGAGGCCGTAATTAAAATCGTGAATATATCGAAGGAACCGATGCAGAGGTCAGAATAGGAATTGTAAATGCATCGATTTTTCCGCACGGAATTGGAATCGCACATCAAATAAAGGAATCGATTTTCAGGTCGGAACAGGATTCGTGAATGAGTCGAAGGAATAGATTAAGAGACCGAAACCGAAATTGTAAATATATTGATGGAACCGACACAGAGGTCGGAATAGGAATCGTAAATGAATCGAAGGAACCGGTTCAGAGGTCGGAATAGGAATCGTGAACGAATCGATTCCGAGGCCGGAATTGGGATCGCGAACGTATCGAATGAATTGATTCCAAGGCCGTAATTATTAAAATCGTGA